TAGTTATTGTAATGTTGCGCTGCTTTATTTGGTTAATCGTACAGTCTGTGAAGAAGGCATTCAAGTAAGAATTGCATGGCGCGTACAATTTATATTAGGTCGGCGTTCATGGTTCGACTTCTGATATTCAGATCGAGTTCTAGGTCAAACTGGTTTATTCGACTTTCAAGAAATTCGAGTTCTAGTGAGTTCGAGAACCGAGGTACCACTGTATCTTTTCACTGATGTAAGGAAACATATTTATTCTTGTTGTACACTAAAGATGACATGCTGTGAAATAAAAAATGAAAATAAAATTGAAAAAAGGTGTCTTATTTCCTCCAAAGACATAGAAAATCACAATTAACCTAAAACTGAAGGACACTTTTTCCTTGGGTCTCAGGAGGTTAATGTGCACTATTAAGAGGTGTGTCCCAATACTTTTGTCCATATAGTGTATTTTGTGGCTCACAGCCATGCAAATATGTTGGATGAATGTTATGTACGAGGGATGAATTTAAACACAAAAAAGCTGAATCTTTGTGAGGTTTGAAAAGTCAGATTGCCTGCCGTGTTTTAGATTTGTTTTTTAAGTAGAGCTAAAATGCACATCAGAAAAATGTCTTGCTGTTTTGTCTGTCTTCCCACCCAAGTTCCCCCAACTGTACTCTCCACATTCTCTAGTATTACGCCCCATGAAAAAATGTTTATTTTTGTATGATTTAGCCAATTTAGTAAAATTAGATTTCACTTTTCAGTTTGTTCTGAATCTGTTTAAGTGCAATTCGAAGGGAATTTTAAGTGAAAATGGAGCATTGAAGTAAAGAAATAATGACTTGAGTTGATAAATATCAATACTGACTGATATATATCATGATAAAATATTTTGCAATATCAGCCCTATCTGGAGGTGTTTTGCAAGCTTTATTTAAGCAGAGCTAAAATGCACATCACACCTGGGGGTGTTTTGTTTGTCGTCCCACCCAGGTACAGAGTGGTGGACAGCCCACCCCTCCATAGGGAGTTTGCACGCAGTTTTAAGCTCCTCCCCCCTCAGTATAACAATATCACCAAGGAAGACTACCGCCGCCTACTGGACATCTACGGGACTCACTTCATCAGGAAGGTGCAGCTGGGCGGCCGCGTGAGCAGCACCACCGCATTCCGGTTCTGCCAGGCGGCGCTAAACGGCTACACTGAGACTGAGGTGAAAGACTGCCTGGAGACGGAGGCCTCTGCAGGCATAAAAGCTTTTTCTGTTAAGGCTGAGTCTAGCTACTGCAAGAATGCCAAGACAAAGCACAATATCAAGGATAACTTCCACAGCCAGTTCACTGAAAGGATCACCGAGGTAGAGGGCGGCCAGCACACGGTTTCTGACCTGCTGTTTTCAGACAAGCCTGAAGCCATGCAGAAGTGGCTGGACAGCCTGAAGACCATGCCGGGAATCATCACCTACTCTCTCCACCCCCTGCATTATCTGGTGCAGAAGCCAAAGACCAAAAAGGCGGCGCTGAAGAAGGCGGTGGAGGACTACATCCTGGAGAAGGCCCTATACAAGCACTGCTCCAAGAAATGCTCAGGAGGTTCGACACCCAGCAAACATGACCCCTGTCACTGTGTCTGTGTGGCCAGTGAACAAAACAACTGCAACTGCTGCCCAACTAGGCCAGGCCTGGCCCAAGTGACGGTTACGGTGAAGTGGGCCCGGGGCTTGTGGGGAGACTACAATGGTGAGACCGATGGCTTTGTCTACATTGCTCTAGCTGACAAAAATACCCAGACCAGGGTGATCCACAACAACAATAACCCGATCTGGAACAGCGAGTTCTCATTTGGTACCATTCAGCTCTCACTGGACACAAAGATGAGGCTGGAAGTGTGGGACGAAGACAAGATGTGGTACAAATGGTGGAACGACAAGCTGGGAGAGTGCACGATCAATCCTGTTAGAGGCTTCCATGATGAAATCTGTCCACTGAACCATGGCAATCTCTACTACTCCTATAAGGTGGAGTGTGCTCCTGGGCTCATGGGAGAGCGATGCAGAGAATACGCCCCTTCTCCTATGAACCCCAGACTGGCCGACCTTTACACCTCCCGGAATGCCTTCAACATCACGCCCGTTCTCCTGGAGCGCCTCAGAAGGGGGCAGTCCATCGAGGATCCCCTGCCGTTTCTGTTATCCAACAGGAGTGATAATAAGATGCTGGGCTCCTCAGGTGGAGATACTCCTCATGCTCCTGCTGAGCCCTAAGGGAGGAAGAGATGCACGCCACAATGAAGATGTACAGTAGTAGCTGCTTTAGCTGTGCCTTTTCTGCCGCTGTCCATGCAGCCAATCCACTCAGCTCATCAAGCTTGCATTTCTGAGAAACATGCATTTCTATTGCAATAAAATCAACTGCAACTTTGCTAAAGAATTCCTGTGTTGCTGTTTTAATGACCATCATCCCCCTCCCTCCTTGGAGAATGGCTTTACTCTTGATTCTTTTTTGAGTGGCACAGCCCCCAACATATTATCTGTGCCACTCCATCTTGTACAGTACCAACACGGACTGCTTGTAAAAACTTAAACTCAAGATTTGGTTACTGAATCTACATGCACACTAATGTATAAAAAAAAATTACGGGGGTTTCTGAAGAAAAGATCCACATTTCCACTATCATTAGCGTTGAAAAAATCTTTTGCGTCCAAACTGCACTGTTGTTAAAGGCAAATGACACAGATTATGACGCATTTTAGCCTACTGTCAGCCTACTTTTTTCGCCCAACCAAAACTTTTTATGATTCTAGAAGTGGCGAAGAATATATCTTGTATTATTTATTTTGACTTTGATTTATAATAAA